TATTAACGATTGGAAAATGCACACACGATTAAAACATTGTACACCCGATACACCAGTAGTAAAATGGTTTTGGCAAATAGTGGAATCTTATGGAGAAGAAATGAGAGCTCGATTACTTCAATTTGTTACTGGAAGTTCTCGAGTTCCTTTGCAAGGTTTCAAAGCTTTACAAGGTAAATACAATTTAATTAAATTACTAGTTGTTTGATCGCCATTCTTTAGTAAAATACATTAATATTTTTTTATATATCTTAATAGGATCAACAGGAGCCGCAGGTCCACGATTATTTACAATTCATGCCGTTGATGCGCCAAGTGAAAATTTACCGAAAGCGCATACTTGTTTTAATAGGATAGATATTCCAGAAAGTTATCCCAGTTATCAGAAAATGCTTGATAAACTTACACAAGCAGTTGAGGAAACTTGTGGTTTCGCTGTTGAATAATAGGTAAAAAAAGCAGAATTTGAATTTTTTTAATCTAATATATTTATTTTATATATAATTAATAATCTTATATTCCTTTTACAGTAGGAATTATTTGCCGACAGATTTTACTGTCGTTAAATTAAAAATAAACTTTTAAAGTACCAAGAGATGTTATTTGATGAGAGTATGGGAAAAGCTAGTATTATAAAATGAAAATGTTAATACGTAAAATGTCAGAAATAATTCTGACAATGTTTTGTACAAATGATCGAATGGCCTTGATGGTTGTAATGACTTCTAAGTGATTGTCGATTGGTACATTATGTATGTGAACACTCTTGTGATTTACACACTTCGTCCATGAACATTTTAATGAATGGTTCCTCAGAAGTTCTGGTTATATTGGTTTTTAACTATTTATTATTCAGTGACTGATAAAGATGTGCAAAAATTATAATTTCATTGAGGTAAATATCTTGATTGGCCTAAATTTTTAATTTATTTATATTAATCATGTTTTCCGTCATAACCCTAGGATCAATAATTTACTTATAAGATCACCATCAAAGAATTAACTTCATTGTTTTCAAGGTATGATAAAAAGTAAAAAAATCATGCATGCACAAATATATACAGAAAATGAATTCTTTCACACAGTGAAAAACATTGTTTAATCATAAATGCGTTCATATTAATATTTTATATCTAAAAAAACAAAAGTATATAAATTGTTTAAGAATCTCATAACAAAAACTTGCATCATACATTATTTATGAATTTTAAACTAATAGGACAATGTATTTCATTCTCGAAAGCTCTCAGTTTCTGTTTAATCAAATGTAATTACAATATGCACAGTCAATTAATAATTCCATATTAACAATCTTTTAAATAGTAGAGTTTAGTAACAAAATAAGAACATATACTCAAATTTATGCTATTATAGTCAAATATCAGTTAAAAAACAGTGCTGGGAATCTAGTATTTTGTAATGTATTATTTCAAGTTGGTCATGGTGACTACAGATAGAAAGATACAAAATCTGTGTATATATATATGTATCATGACCTTAGATGCAAGTGTTAAAATTTTTCTAACTCTGTGAATACATTTGATAAATATTCATAAAATTTAATAATATCATAATGATTTCATTTAAATTTTATAATTTTCATTATACGAAGAAGATAGAGATGACCTAAAATATAAATATTCGTAACATCAATTTAGAGTCTCTAGAAAATGTTCTATTGAATTATGAATTATGAAAATTTTGATATATTAATTAGAATTAAAATTCATAAATACAAAGTGCTTTTTTCTGCCATGAGGAAGAATGATATACATATTCTCAGTATTAAAAATTACTTTTATTAGTATATGAACACTTGCTTCGAGGAACTTTGTAATGTAATCGGCAAATTTTGTTATTGCAGCGCAACTTGAATTATACTTGAAGATCATTGTTGCTTGTTTAGGAACCAATAGTACCGAATGCGTTAAGAAAATGTAAATAGTATAGTGTTTAATATAAAGTTAACACGAGCGTATAATGTGCAGGGCATGTATTTGACTTTTGCACAATAAAAACGCATCGGTTCTAGTGTAGGCTAAATCGTGAATTGTGTACATTAGCTTTAATTTAAAAAAATTGAACACATATTTAAAGAAAGAGTTTATTCGGCGAGTTTATGTAAAGTTAAAATGGTTTTACTCGAATCGACTCTTTGTTATACGAGTTCACAAAATAATCTATACTCTACTAACTTTTAGTAAAGTGTAGAGACACTTATTTATCGCACGAACCCTTCATTTAGCCTCTAGCATTTACTTTTATTGTAAAAATATCTAATGGCTGATAGCACCAATCATCATTTCGTATTATTATTGCATTATTATATTTTATTCTGCACGTAACTGTGATCAAACATATCATGAAAGGAGAAGAAATAGTGGGAGACACCTTGATAAATTTATTTTAAATATTATTATTGTTTACTTGAGAGTTTTTAAACACTGTAAACGATTTATATTTATATTCATTTTAATAATTTCTTTATTAACGAAAAATTGTTGTATTTTATATTTAGGTATGCAAAAGTATCACCCGTTTTCGGCTTTGAAATACGGTCTGATTACTTTGCTCTTATTTTTTTCTCGCTTTCTTTCTATTATAAATTTTACTATTAATTTTATTAATTATCAATAAAGTTAATAATAAAATGAAATTATATATCATTATTTGCACTTTGCACGATGTAATATTAACAAAGCAATCATTCGACTTTAAAATGAGAAATAAAATGACTATTGTGTGTTCAAAAAATATTGTAAAACAGTATTAAAAAAATCTTTCGAGTGATTCTTCTCATTTCAAAATATTTAATCATGTAACATAATTCACATTTTTCTCATTTTATAACATTAATATTTTAAGACTTAATTCAAATTTTAGTAAAACTTAAATCTATCTGTTAAGACTTATATTTACATACAATACTTGTTAAATTGAATTATTGATAGCACAATAAGGGTCTCCCACAATTCTGTTGTATTTTAAACTTTTTTCAACTTCTGTCACATCTGAGAGGAATGAAAGCCTTACTAGTACCTTGGAATTAATGTCAATGAGAAAATAACACAAATTTTATGCCCATCATATTTTGAAATAAAAATTAATATTGCATGTAATTGAAAAAAAAAGTTATTAATTTTGAAAATGCCTAAAAATTATCATAACGTAGATTTTATGAGTGTATGTATAGTTTATTATAGAATAAATAACTCTATAATTGAAAAATAAATAGAAATTGATAAAAAGATATAAAGGTCACCATTTGGGCAAACATTGCCAAAGATGTTTTAAATTATTCAAATCTTTAAATATTTATCGTGTGTTAGAAACAGTTTATAATTCATTATCTCTTGCTGTTAGAAAAAAGGAAGCAGATATACATATGTATTCAATATATATGTATACATATATGTGTGTGTATATACTCAAAGAAATAACACATAAATATTTTATAGATAAATGATCTACAAATTAATAATGCAATAAATAGTATCTTAAAAAAGCTTCAACATTTTTAAACATGTTATATGCATGGATAATCAAGGAGAATTAAATTTACAATTAATGTGAATGAATAGAATTATTCACACTTTCAACCACATATCATAATGTGCAATTAAGTTTTTGTTGCTCTTTCATATAGCTCATTGATATAAAATACAAATGCTTTTAAAGCTTTTCAACAGCCTCATTATACAAACTACAATATTAAATGTTATATTGGTATATAAAAAAAAGAAACAAAAAGAAGAAAGGTACAAAATTAGAAAATGATTTAATACATATCATATAAAGTAACAGTCACTGTGACGTGAAATTTTAAATGCGAACGTAATTTTAATTAAATTCAATAATTATTAATGCACTACGGGTATAAATGCTCTCTTAAATTGTATAAATGTTTAAAGTTCTTAATAAAGGTATATGGTGACCGGATTTCGAATTCCATGTTAAGTACATCATATACTGTGCTCGGCAATAATAAAATTTTATTCTACCAAATAGCAGGATATTTTACTACTATTTATCAATATCCATAAAAGAGCAAATTTTGTAGATTGGAGAAAGGAATCTTATTTTGTCACAAAAAAAAAAAAAAAAAGAAAAAAAGAAAAAAATGAAGCAGGTGAATATCGATATAAATGAGGAATCGTTTATTCAAGATCGTATATACGAATTTTTTAAAATTCTGTACCAAGCTATGCGCGAAATTTGAAAGAAATTGCGAATACGTTATTACACTGCAATTATTTTATTATTCTTATTGCTACTATAACCGTTGTTATTATCATTATTGCGCAGAACCTTCGAAACACAATTGTATATACATCTTTTCCTTTTGTATTTTGGATGAAATGTATATTTTAATAAAATATCCAAAGTATGACATTTTTAATTTTGTCTTTATATTGTATGTAAGTAAAAATGAGTGCTCACAATATATTTTTTAATAATACATATATTTTCTTTAATATTTATGAAATTATTATTTTTATCATTGAAAAAGGTAAAACGTCTAAAGTACTGATTTAATAATGTTTATAAAGCAATTTTTTTAAGTATTTTATAGAAACAACTAAAATAAAATTATTTTTATTTTATTGGTATATAATTGATTTTTTGTATAATAAATTTGTAAGTATACATATATGTAAAATAAATCTAATATAAAAGTTCGCGATACTTTTAAAGAGGTTGATACATTTAAATGATAAATAAAAATAATGAATATAAAAGTACAAATGTAAGATAATTATGTAATATATTGTTCCTCAGCTTATTTACATCAATCTGTTCATTTTACATTTATGATAATCAATTATTAAGTTATCTAGTGATTATGGTTGAACTATTGGTAGTAATATAATAGCACAATATAACGCGTACTTCGTTAGGTAGAAGTGCGAATCGTGTTGATAGTTTACGTGATGCTTGATATGTAGCACAAGAAAATTGTTCATATTTCAAAATAAATTTATATAAATTTCTTTTATACAATGGCTATGTTTGAAGTATTAAGAAAAGAATATAGTGTAAGAATTGTAATAATTGATAATAATTTTGAGGTTATGTAGTTCAAGTCTTTAAATATTTTCATGTACTTTTCCAGGATTATTTACAACAGTGTTTTAAAGTGTCAGATATACAGACATTTCAAAAGAAATGTATAGAACGTTGTTCAAATGATAATGATAGGAAAGCAGCAATCGACCAAGCATTAAGGGATACTCTTCTTGTAATATTATCTGAAAATGTATCAAGTAATGTGCAATTACTTGAGACTTACATTACATTCTGCATTGAATTATGCAGAAAAGATTTAGCAACTGCAAGTATGCCAGTGATGCTACTTGGTGACATTTTTGATTCTATGACCCTTGACAGATGTGAACAGCTTTTTACTTTTGTTGAAAACAATGTGGTTGTGTGGAAAGAGGATTTGTTCTTTAGTGCTTGTAAAAACAATTTATTAAGGATGTGCAATGATTTACTTAGAAGATTATCTAGATCACAACAAACTGTATTTTGTGGAAGAATTCTCTTATTTTTAGCTAAATTTTTTCCTTTTTCCGAGAGATCTGGTCTTAATATTGTTAGTGAGTTTAATTTGGACAATTTCACAGAATTTGGTTCTGAAAAATCTGAGGGAGATGATATGGAACAAATAACTAAAGATGATGATAAATCAGAAACTAAAGTGCCAATTGATTATAATTTATATAGAAAATTTTGGGCACTGCAAGATTTTTTTAGAAATCCTAATCAGTGTTATAGTAAAATGCACTGGAAAGTATTTTCAGCAGTAAGTTTACATTGTTGATTGCCATATCTTTTTATTACAAATATATTTTATATGTTTTATTCACATTTCACAGCATGCTTCAAGTGTGCTATCAGCATTTTCATCTTTCAAATTGGAAGAACAACGCAATTATCCTTCAACATGTATTAAAATTGATTCTTCCATTGAAGGATCTCATAAAGAAACCCCTTATTTTGCTAAATATTTGACAAATCAGAAATTATTGGAGCTACAATTATCTGATTCAAATTTTAGGCGATATGTATTGCTGCAGTTTCTCATTCTTTTCCAATATCTTAATAGCACTGTTAAATTTAAAGCGTAAGTATCTGTAATTTTTATACATTTTTATGTATACTTGTATTTTATTACAAATGAATTCACAATTCCTCTCAATAGAATTGCACATTTTTAATGAATCATTAGTAAAACAACTTTGAAAGCTATAAAACGATGTTTGTTTTCCAAAGCTTCCTTGCCAGTGGCTATGAGACAAGGTCTGCTTTCCTTAAATAGTGTTTCATGTTATATATATCTCAGAGTCTCAATAACTTTTGTATTTTTTAAGTGAAACACATGAATTGAAGCCTGACCAAGTAGATTGGGTGAAAGCAACTACGGAGCAAGTGTATGCTTTACTGACAGAAACTCCTCCTGATGGTTCAACATTTGCTGAAACTGTTAAAAATATATTGAAACGTGAAGAGCATTGGAATGCTTGGAAAAATGAGGGATGTCCGCCATTCAAAAAACCAGCTTCAGAGTCTAATATTGACATAGAAGAATTAAAGAAAGCAAAGAGACCAAGACGTAGAATTGGAGATGTTATTAGAGATGCTCAAGCAATTGGAAAGTACCATATGGGGAAGTAAGTAACCACTTGACGAATTTTGTTTATTTTTCTTTTTGATATGCAAGTGAATTTATTTATTTTGTAGTCCAGAACTCACAAAATTATGGAATCTGTGTCCCAATAATCTTGAAGCATGTAAATCCAAGGATAGAGATTTTCTTCCATCTTTAGAAACATACTTTGAAGAAGCTATTGTGCAATTAGATCCTAATGCAATGGTAGAAGATGAATACAAGTAAAGTACTTCCATTATTTATATCATATCATTAAATTTAATTATTAAGGTAAATTTTCTTTGTTTATTTGTTACAGAAAAGTAAATGATGGGAACTTTGGTTGGAGGGCATTGAGATTATTAGCTAGACGTAGTCCCCATTTTTTTGTTCATGGGAATTATCCTATTAATAAACTTCCTGAATATCTCGAAACAATGATTAAAAAAATTGCTAAAGATCGTCCAGTGAGTATAATACTTTTATTTCATTAATTTGTAGTTTCTATTGTCATTTATATTTGAAAAGTTAAAATTTTTAAGTTCTATAATCTTTACTTTTTAAAGCAGACACAGTCGGATACAAAGTTAGAAACGGAAGAAACTCCACCACAGGAAGCTAATGATCAAGAATTTAATGAAGATGTCCTAAAGCAAGAAAGTGAACAAGTTGAAGTCGAAAATACAGATTCCAAAGGACGAAAATTAACGAAAGTAACCCCTGAAATGGTGGCGAAACTGTCAGAAATTTTGAAAAATGATTGGAAAAAATTAGCAGCTAAGTTTGGTTACACAAGTGATGAGGTAAATAAATTTTATAATATTATCCAGCTTGCATAAAGAGTAGAAATAGTCATATACTGCAGTTATGTATTTTTTTTTTAGATTACGTTTTTCCAAGGAAAACCAACACCATATGAGCAATGTAAAAATATGTTGGAAATTTGGGCAGAAGAAGATGTAGATGCGTCGATGGAAAATTTAGCATATATTTTAGAAGGTTTAAAATTTACGGAAGCATTAGCTATTTTAAAATCTTAATTGTCTCTTAATGGAATATTTATAAAAACAAAAATGTACCTTAAAAAATGTATAGTACTATAGGAATTAAACTTTTACAATTTTCCTAATGATGTTCTTTTATGAATCCTAATTTAAAATTTTATTAATATTGTATTTTAAATAGTATTACATTATATATTTTGTTTTAACAATAACTAACTTTAAACAAGCATAACTAAAATAGCGATTTAGAAATATATGAATAATGTACTTACGTTTAATGGTATCATTGTGTTGTAATCATTTCTGGAAATACGGAGTATGGTATAATTGGTACTCCCGAGTATACGCAGTATAGCATTAATAAAAATCATCATATTAAAAATTTTCAGTTAAAAAAAAATTTCTTGTTAAAGTAGGAGGTGAAGTGATTTTTATCAAATTAAATAGTAAGTATTCTTTTACTCAAATAAAGTTCAAAATTAAATATACGCATCTGAAAGTTCAAGTAGTCTATACATATTTTTTTGTTCAAATAAGTCATACATGTTTTAGTGAGAAATCATTTTGCTGGTTTAAACATAACGTGCATATATTAGATCAATCAATTATCAAGTTCATCTTAATTAGAGTATTGAAATATTACATGGTATCGATAAATTCAATTCGATTCAAGAGCCCATTAGATGCACTTTCCGCTTTTTATTTAGAAAGACAATAATAAAGTGTACAAATTATACAAAATTTCGAACTAAAACGGTCGTCGGTGCAAACTATATCGAAGGATAGTTGGTTTTATATCGGTACGTCAAGATCTACATTACGGCATTGAGGGAATTTTCTTTCTTTATTTTTCGGTACGAAATCGATTCGCCAACAAGCATGCTGACAACCTAAAGGTATAGACCGACGTTTTCTCTACTTAATCGTAATAAATTAGTTTAACGTTAGTAATATATCGTATCTTCGAATTATAGACACTGACTTAGACTCGATTTATGCTCGATGTAAAAGCAGAGGCCAACGACGATTAAGACAGCGACAGCTCGCGGAGTGGTAACTTTTTTTTTTTTTTTCGAACAAGAACTATACGTAAGTTATAAAATATTGCTACACATACGCCGAACAGTTTCAGAAGCTTATTCCATAATTGTTCACAACTGTTAATCCAATTTCTAAATAATCCTTTCCTCGCATATACATACTGTTTGCTTGTGGGCCTGTAATTTCAACATTCATGCAATTACTATCGCACCAAACGCGTCCGCCGCGAATTATACACAGAGCATAAATCCGGATTCCGAATGCAAGAAACTCAATGATCTTTTACGGAATCCTTTTATAATCGATTTGTTTCTTACATCTAACATACACACTCATATGTATTGGCTAAAGTGTAAATGCAATTCAATTGCGGATATGAACTCCGACATTTTATTAGGTCGTAGGGCAGTTGTTAGTTTACGTTCTTATTTTCTTTCTTTTTACTTCTTTCATTAATCCTTTAACGGTAAATTATGACTCAAGTGGCGAACATTTGGGCCACGCTTCGAAGAATCTTCTCTCATAGCAACGATCTAAGTACTGGACGTTTATCGTGACGTAGGGAACTCCTAATAGCGTCGAGATGGTTGACTTACATACGTCGAAGAAACTATGATGTCAAGTTCTTTCCAACGCTCGACAATGATGACGGATTAAGAGTACAGGCGAGTAATCGATATGGAACACTGATGAACGATGTCTAGACGATCAGTCTTATTTCTTAAAGAGAGAACGAAAATTCGTATAAAGCGTAGGTTAATGACTCGCAATTACGGTTATAACCTTTGGAATTACAGATAGATTTTACGCTGTATAGAAATGAGATGATCACTGTTCGCATTGCATCTGACATAGATCAATTTTCCTCTGAAATCCTTTCCACATTTTCTCCTTTTTATTTTATTTACTGTTTTTTAATAGCTCATCAAACAAGAACAATACAGGATGAACTCATCTCGATTTCTATTTATACAACGACACTGTTGTTTTGTGATTTACGTATGTTAAGAGGCGGAAAGAGAGGTTAAGAGGAAAAGAGTGAGAGAGAGAGCGGGGGGAAGAGGAATAAAAAGGCAGGCAGAAGAACGGTAGAAGGGTTAGTTTTCCATCAGAGAATCCAAGTACTCCTTGTAATCGTTCTCCGACATTTCGTCCTCGTCCTCTACAACATCAACGCTTCTCCTCCTTCTTGTGGTCTCGCTGGTTACTTCTATACAAAGTAGCGCGAACTTGTTGTCGCAGGAATAACGAACTTGTTCCAAGAGACGTCCTCCTGTTAACGGTGATCCTAATCCGTAACGATCTGAACTGCTTGAATGCCAAGCGTCGCAATACGTGTCCATTGCTCGGTCTCCTAATTTGTGTGATCCGTGCCATGCAACCTTTTCTGGCCTGAAAAGTCGGGCAAATTTAACGTTAACTAACTAGTATATTAAAGTTTATGTATAAATAAAACTCTCATGCAATTATTAAACCAATAATTTCTATTTTATTACAGAAAAAAAAGTAAATTAATTGCACAATTACCATGCAAAGTCGGTGAGGATGTTCTTTCCATTGAAGCTATAGATTCTTGGGTTTTGTGAGAAGTAGGCTCCATTTCCGTTAAACATCTCCTTCCAGGAATTGAAAAGAACATCTCCCTGAAAGATCGAAAACGAATGTCACATAACATGCACGATACATTTATGGAAAATTATTTAGAAACTTTAGTGGATAATTTTGATGAATAAACCGAGGAGAATCGGTGTATTTTAGATTACGAATTACCTTTATATTAACGATAGGTAATTCCCGGTCTGCAAGTTTCACGATGCTGTCAACATTTTGAACCCTGGAGCTAAGGAATGCGCGGAACGTAGCCCTCAAACCAGCTCGCTTTGCTTGTCGATAACAAGCATAGTCAGCTCCTCGTATACCGTGCATGTCTCCGGTAAATGGTTCGTTCAAAGCAGCCATTCGTAGCTGAAAATTGTAATATCGATATGACATTCTTGTAAAAATTCGTGTCATGAAATATTTAGACAAACATTTAGACTAAATATTTATTTAAATATTTAAAATACGATTAACAAATTGGCGTTGAATTTTTATATGTAAAATAAAATAGATTTTTAAGCTTTGTATACCAGTCTGTGCAGATACATAATGGAATAAAATATACATCTTTTTTATACTTACAATTCAATTTTTGTAAGGTAAATGTGTTCCATTTTGTACTTACATTTTTCATAATATAATACAAATTTGTACTTCAAGAAATTAATGTAAAACATGTTAAATAGGAAATGAAAAGTCGTGTTTCCTTTTTTCTTTAACTTCTAATGAAAATGAAACGAAGTGATGAATTTCTATGGAAACCTAAACGAAAAATATAAGAAGATGCTAATGTTAAAAGATTAATCGTGTTAATATCTTACCATTCGTGGATACCACTTTGCGGCAGGAAGAAAATTTAAGCGAAATTAGGTAATACATTAGTCCACGTCTTATCGATAACGTTTTACACTCAACAGGATTAAGATAGAAACTCACCCCCGTTCCGTCTGCTTTTATGGGTATCTGGTTGATCAGGTTGGAAGCCTCGAAAGGTGGATTCGCTGGAGGCGGTGACGTGGTCGGTGGTGCGGGTGTAGTTATTGGTAAAAGCGAGCCCAACTACAGAACATGGTATAAATATTTTGAATTAAACTGAAGAGATAGTCCGGCAAATAAATGAGTACAGACATTACAGTTTTATATTAATAAACGATGTACAAAGTACGAGATAATTATCGCGGAAAAAAAAGTAATTGCGTTTGATAACACACTTTATCATATTCAACAAATTTTACAATTTCTATTTTTCCTCGATTCAAGACATTTAACAAATGCAACGAACATTACTAGATGGTGTGCGAATAGTTATCATCCCATTGTTCTATGGTGATCCTTCGGTGATTAAATTTTACAGCTAAATATTTTATTTTAACGATTTCTGTATAGAAATACGTACTTCTGTACATCGCTCAAAATTTACACAAATCCTTTCAGCCAATCAAAAAATATTAAAAATTTTAGACGAAGGTGGAACAAACAGAAAAATGTTCTACTAACTGCAATGTATTGCCAGCCATTGTTCACTCTGACGAGCAGCGCTTGTTCGTCTATGATATAAGCTAATGTTCCAACTGGGCTCACAGCAGACATCTAAAAATATAACGAAAATTAAAGCATTTATGTATGTTATTCGAAGTTCTATGCAAAAATAAATTTTTTTAACAGCAGTAAAATGATTTACCTTCGTCATGGCTTCGGTATTTTGGAATGTCACTGCTCCTGGTACGATCTTGGTCGTGCTTTCCAGATGTCCTCTGGTCGCAGTGGTTGCAGCACCTTATAAAAATTTTATAGACAATTAAGAGGTATTTTCAGAGGTACATTAAACGTTACTACAAAATTTGTCGCATTTAGAACACGAAGAAGATTAATCTGTCTTTTAGAAACGTTGTTCCATCGCATTTTATATTTAATGACAGGATTACCTAAATGCTCCTTTAGTTCCCTCAATTGTTTTAGTTCTTGCAGAGCCTTCAGTTCGTCTAGACTAGTTCTGGGTCCTTGCAGCGTAGGAAACAGAACATTTCGTGGATTTTTTTCTAACAAAACATGATCTTTTTCATTACTTTAAACTAAGTATCTTATGCTAATTTAATTAGGAGTAAAGATAATTTAAATATGAAAGAATAAATAATTTTTGCATTTTTAAATACTTTTTTTAATATTTAAATATTAAATCTTTAAAGCTAAGTGTTTCATTTGTATTCTAATTACGTTGTCAATGTATATCGATATATCCTTACCTTGTCTAACACCGTAATAGTCTCTTTCACCATGGATATAACTTCTGACGATTCCTGGTTTAACGTTCTGACCACTTATAGATGGTCCAGGTGATCCTGGTGGTCCTGGAGGTCCTGGAGGACCTGGAACTGGGATATAATTTCCCTGAGACGGTGGTCCAGGTGGTCCTGGAGGTCCTGGAGGTCCTGGAGGTCCTCTTTGACCGTCTCTCCCAGGCTGTCCCGATATTCCAGGGAATCCGTCGTCTCCCTTATCGCCTTTTATCTAAACATAACATAAAATGTTAAATATAAAATATAAGATTAAAAATATAAAAGGTAAAATATACAGTCGAAAATATAAAATATAAAATATATAAAATATGCATATTGAAACACGAGAAATTCGCAACAATGTCTTCTAAAATTATTACAGGTCACTTCACCCGTAATTTTCCAATTAAGCCACATCCCGACGAAGTTAAACAAGTGTACGGATACCTTTGACTCGTGGCGTATATTTCATACAAAAAAAAAAAAGAAAAAAAGGAAAAGAAAATAGAAAAAGAAAAGGAAAAATTCATACACTTGAACCAGTTTCGCCAAGTGCAAATCGGTATAAATCACGGTACGTGTCTTCGTCGGCGCTGAGCCGTTCGAAAGCGCAATAAAAGCGTGGAGTTTGCCTTACGTTGGCTCAGCTTTTAAACCAAAAGCGTGGGGTGAATTAAGCCCTGCCATGCGCATTCGTCGTTCGTCGCTTGTCATGGTTACGATGAAATTTCGACGAATTTCTGTTTGGGACGCCGAATAAATCGAGCCGGGGGCTTCGCGGGCTGACAAAGATGAAAAAGAAGAGGGTGCAGCCGGGAAAGAGAAAGTGAAAAAAGGAGGGAAAATTGGGAAAAAAAGGGGTCGGAAGGAGCGTCAAGCGCACACTTGCATTAATTTCCGTCACACTGGCGCGTTCTATGGCTTGCTCAATGAGACTTGCCGCTGTACACGAGGTGATCTACGAGCACTGTTACAAGTTTCGCGAGCTTCACGAAGTGGTCGTTCCGACTAAAAAATGTTCCAGCTTGCGCGTTCGTAGTAGAACTCGTACGAGCGTTTCCGCTTCGTAACAGTGATTAAACAGCCCAGGGAAGGATCAAATCGAATCGTGACGGGACAGAGAACAAGTGGAAAAGGAGGATGAAGAATGGGGAGGAAAAATGCAGGAACTTGGAAGAAACGTTTGACAAAATGCATTATTCGAAACATAAATGATTATTAAATATAATGTTGTTAAAATATAAACTCCCGTCTAACTTTTAAGATAAGAATGAATCTCCTAATGTTTTCCCTTTTCGTATAATACTTCATTTTAGAGCCAAAAATAAAGAGAGAATAAAAATATTTTGACATATATATACGTATCATGAAAATGTATGCTATGGGGGTACGAATGCAGTTCTAGTTTATAAAACATATATGAATTATTAAATTCATTGTTAATAACAAATTGTTAAAAGCATAAATTAATAATAAAAATTAAGGAATCAAGAAATTCTTGATTACTGTAGAAAACAGGTAATCATTAACGAAAATGTATACTATGGGGGGTGCGAATGCAGTTTTACTTTGTAAAACATATATAAATTATCAAATTCATTGTTAATAATAAATTGATAAAAGCAAAAATTAATAATAAAAATTAAAGAATCAAGAAATTCTTGGTTATTGTAGAAAACACGTAATCATTAACGAAAATGTACGTTATGGGGGGTGCGAGTGTAGTTTAACTTTATAAAACATATATAAATTATCAAATTCATTGTTAATAACAAATTACAAAAAGCATAAATTAATAATAAATATTAAAGAATCAAAAAATTCTTGGTTATTGTAAAAGACACGTAATCATTAATGAAAATAAAAATATTTTGACATACATATACGTATCATGAAAATGTATGCTATGGGGGTACGAATGTAGTTTTAGTTTATAAAACATATATGAATTATTAAATTCATTGTTAATAACAAATTGTTAAAAACATAAATTAATAATAAAAATTAAAGAATCAAGAAATTCTTGGTTACTACAAAAGACACGTAATCATTAACGAAAATAAAAATATTTTGACATATATATACGTATCATGAAAATCTATGCTATGGGGGTGCGAATGCAGTTCGCAATTATATATTCTATATTCGCAATATATATGCTATATTCGCAACATAACTTTTGATTGATTATTTTATTATAAATCAAAAGTTATGTTACGAATTATTTTCTTTGATTTGATTATTTTACTATAAAACATGTATTTTAATTTTTACAAATAAAATATTTAATTCGTTACACCAGTTATATATAACTGGTTCCTTCATCACGCATTTTCCTCAGACAAACTTTTTGCAAAATATGCAAGTTTGAGTGGTCTTATTACCGGTGCACAATCCTATTTGACATTTTTTTCGTGATTGGGAAAATTATATATAAAATTATATATTAATTAAAATAATATTAATATAATATAAATATTATTTAAAATATATCAATTAAAATAATTAAATATATAATTAAATAAAATGATATATTAATTATATATCAACCTGGCAGATGCGAAATTTCGCGTGGGGTAAAATGTTTTCCAACGATACGACCCCTGATGCAACGATTTCGAGGAGTTTGTAACCCAGTGCTCGTACATCACCGTGCACATCTCCACTTCGACCTTTCACCCGATACGAGACAGGATAAAAATGCATCCATTATCTTTATTCGTTCTCCAACGGCAAACTCTTCAGCTCTACAGCCCTGATATCTCTTCTCGTATTATTTCTGTTTGCGAGATATCATCGCAGAGTTTGCAAGATTCGCGATAGGATCTTATCGGGAAATTCCTTCCAATTTTCCGCCGACTGCTACGTCTTCTACCCGTCATTTTTCTTAGCTCCTAGCAGTTCCAGAATAATTAAAGGTAAGCGACGAGCTCGGAGTCACCGCCGGATAACTGATGTTTAAAAATACGAAAAGATAGAAAACGTATCGCGATCTCTTGTTTTCTGTTTCCGATCTAATTTAAAATCCGCGGGACTGAAAAAATAGAACGAATTTTCGATATGCCTGTTATTTTAAGAAGATTAATTCCACGTGCGCGATTCGAGACCGGTTGGATATTCCGAGGAAGTTTCGTTGCATGTTAAACGAAACACTGGAAAGTTAAAAATGATTCGCGTGATTCGCATTTTTCTGCTGTAGATAGATTAAAATAGAAACGACGAATAGAAACGTAGAAGTTGCTGATCGCAAATTTTTCCCATCGAGACGAGGAGAAAAATAATGTCTGCTCGAAAGCGTTAATTTTGTTAAATTCGTGAGAAATTGCAAAGATCATAAACGACGTGAACTCACGTCAATAGTTCATGCGTTAACCCCATGTGCTACGTTTTACAAAGTGTGCATTGTAAAAGCAATTAATTTTAGTTACTATACAGGACTTCTCAAAGGACTAGAAAAATGTTTCAAACAACAGTTGCTTGATATCAAAGAGTGCATGAAACGTAGTAATTAATTTCTTGTTATTTCACTTTCTTATTTAAAAAATTAATTATGGCATTGCGTGTATCCCTTTGATATTACATGTTGAAATATACTTTTGTCTAATAAACAATTTACAAGTAATTTTAATTAATTTCAGGTAGTAAATGATTCACTCGCCTTGTATATAAATAGTTACAAAGGAAACACAGCATATCTTATTTTATAATTAATTTTAATTTTGTAAATTAAAATTGTATCATTAATTTGAATATAACTATAATTCACCATGAAAGGTGAAAATAACGCAAATAAATAAATTGTAATTGCAATTTTAATTGCACGATGAATGTTTTGCTTATTGTAATTTAACCCTTTGCACTCGACAAGTTTTTGGCTAAAGATGAGTAAAGGTTCAAAGATTTTCTGTTATAAAACTGACGACATTTTTTTGACCAGTAATAAATAAGAAATCATGTAATAATTAACACATAGAATTATTTCATTTCGGTACCTCTCACACCGTTACATTATCTTAAATTTGACATATTAATTAATATCGATTTTCGAAATTTTATCAAATGGTGACTGAAGGGTGCCTCTCGAGTGCAAAGGGTTAATTTAATATCAAAAGATTATGATCAGTTAGATTTATCGTAGCACAGGAAGTTAAATGGGATTAAGGTTACATCGGATGTTCAGATTTCGAGGAGAATTTGTTAACTGTACTTACGCCGACAGAAACTCCATAAGGGTTAGGTGTGGCAGGCTCCCCTTTTTCTCCCTTGGGTCCCAGTGGTCCAACAGGTCCAGGAAGTCCGGGCGTTCCAGGACGACCCTGTTGGAAGTAGTTACCGATACATAGAGTTCATGTTCTATCTTCCTGTTCATGAATATTCCACGTTCATTAAATCTTTAATTAATCTCGCGTGCAGCTCAATCTAGTATACAATTTGTTCCCGATTACCGTGATTTCTAATTTTATCACTCGATTATTACATGGTTCACCGGGATAATTGATTTACCGACAGCTGTCAGCTGCAAATTAGTCAATGGAATTTAAGTCTCATCGAAAGGAGAACGAGTCAAATTTCCTCAGATTTTTACTATTAAGGTAACGCGAGTACCGTGTAATACTCACTTTCATGGCGTTCTGTGCGTAGCATTGAAAAAGACATATGATTTTAGACACTGATTTTTAGGCAATTAGCAAGGGATGTGATTCATTTGAAACGTGCTGTGCATAACAGAAATTAATTCCTCTGGCCACTGAGTAAACGTTACTTTATGCCTTGTTGGATTACAATTTTCAGAAGATGGGAGGAATACAATTTTTGTGCAATTCACTGTGCAACGTTTACTTTCAGCAATGTAACAAATGTTAATTTCCAACTGATAAGTACTCAACTACTTAGATTGGACTTATATTAAAGTACTCTTATCTTATGAACCTTCCTGTGCTTACTGATTCCAAGGATTTTAAAAAGTAATAGAGACTACATATGTAAAAGGAGTAAAAAGAGATAAGCTTAAATCCTGTGACAGTTAATGAAATGTATAAAGTTACGGTATTTTATCATTACCCTAATTTACGTCGAACGCTATTAAATTTGTCAAGCTTTGTTAGCTTGGAACAATAATGGATAATTCGAGTATTGACCACATAAGCGAAGAATTCAGTCATGGTAGCGTGTCTGACAGGCTTGCAGATTCGTTGACTTATACTTGTTCATTACGGGGGTAAGGTAGCCACTCGCCAATTAATCTAATGCTCTGGAACTCGGAACTGCATGACCTCAGAGTTGTGGAATCCGTCAAAAGCCACCACTATACCGTGAGACCTTACAACTTTATCTAGCCTGTCAGATACGCTCTCAAGGTTCAGACAATTATTACTCCTTGCTTATGGATATTACAAAGTACTATTTACATTGTATATAACTTATTATCTTAAGAAAAATACGATAAAATACTGTAATTATACAAGTTTTAACAGCATTTAACCCTTTGACTATGGAGGACTTTGAAACGCATCAGCCGTACCATAGGAATCCATTTACAATTTTTTATTAGGTGTGCATTTCTGAGAAATTATTGTATACTTAAATAATAATAAAAACAATACATTCCACTGCCTTAAAACAACATTGTTTATTTCCTTGTATTCTGCATTAAATGGTTACTTAGTACATACTTAAAATTTAGCAGCAAACAAAACTTCTGAGCGCCTTTAGGCGCCTACAGTATCACAAGTGCAAGATTTCTAAGCGTCTTCAGGCGCCCACAGTAGTCAAAGGGTTAATATTATGAGAACAGAGTTTATTTAATACTAAAACTATCAAACCAATCAAAATGATCGTTTCCAGATATATCATCAGTTACTGAAAAAGTGCAGCTATTTCTGACTTTTATGCACAAAAGGCATGCATATCTGTATGCAAGATTATTGTAGTAATCTTCATCATGCTACTTTAATCATTATTATTTGTATACCAGTATTATTATAAAATATTAATTAATATTATTAATAATTTAATCATTATTATTTGTATATCAGTATTATCTGTAACCAAAGTATATTTGTAACTATTCTATATCAGTATTATTTACACAAAAATTTGCTGATGAGTTCTAGCATAGATAATTTATATCTGGACTTTCTTATCTGTATGCAAGATTATTATAGTGAACTTCATCATATTACTTTAATCATTATTTGTACATCAGTATTATTTGTAATCAAAGTATATTTGTAACTATTCTATATCAGTATTATTTACATAAAAATTTGCTGATGAGTTCTAGCATAGATCATTTATATCTGAACTTTCTTATCTGTATGTAAGATTATTGTAGTAACCACATCATACTACTTTAATCATTTTTATCTGTATACCAGTATTATTTTTATATATTAATTAATATTATTAATAATCTAATTATTATTATTTATAACCAAAGTATATTTGTAATCATTGTATTATTTAGCCAAAGATTGCTGATGAGTTCTAGCATCGATCATTCATATCCGAACTTTTCATAATCCTCAGAATCACTCCGGAAAGCTTCACTGTCTCACAGCGACATAACATTCTTCGCTTCTATTCATTATCCTCCATCACCTCGGATAAATTGCAACCAAAATTGCATCTCTCCCGTACTTCCAACAAGATCAAGAACTTGAGCCAGGGCAAGAAAAGAGGTCCACAGCTTGCTACAACGTGACACACACACAGGATTAAATAACACGTAGCCATTGGCGCGAGGAGCGATAACAAAATAATTTTTCGAAAGCCCATTTTCCTGATGGGGAGGAAATCAAACGGAAATAGAGGGGTTGATCGATAAAAAGAGGAGAGAAAGAGCATAAAAGGAGTTTTCTCGTACCACCCATCCAGGTAACCCAATTTCTCCAGTGGCTCCCTGCTTCCCAGGTGGACCGGGAGGTCCAGGGCGTCCTCTTCTGCCCCTCTTCCCCTCCGCACCCTTTTCACCCTTGATGGTGATGTAGTCTCCGGAGCTGGCTATAGCTGTAGCTCCTGGCGGACCTCTCTCACCTTTGTCGCCCTTTGCACCCGCCAATCCCTGCACTCCTGCAACTCCGTCCTTGCCTGGCTCGCCTTTGTTTCCTTGAGGTCCTTGAACGCCATTCACACCAGGAATTCCGGCTGGTCCGGAATCACCTTTATCTCCCTTCTCGCCTTTCGTGCCCTTGTCTCCTTTGTATCCTCGTGCACCACCTTCGCCCTTGTCGCCCTTTTCCCTTAACACTAATTCATTTGACACGTTAGGCAGAGAAATTATTCGTTTGAGCTAATGTAGAAGAGATGGGGATCAGATAATCTTTTGTCTCTTTTCCCTTTTGTCTCGAGATAAAATGAAGAAGGTGGAAAATATCTGAGAGTGAATGTATGGGACATTGTTGGCGGTTCTCTATTTCTGGGAAACACGTTGTTGAAATTTCCTTGAACGCTGAAGTTACAATCGTAGAATTTGTTGAAGTTGAACACGTGGCTGGTTGTGTTTGCGAAGTCGAGTTTTGCGAAATTTGTTTTTATTGCAGTGAAATTAAATGTTAAAAATAAACTGCACATCCTAGACAGGTGGGGGCGATCACTGCTCTTTCATTTTGACTTTTGTTACACTTTAGTGTCTTTTGTCTCATATATTCTGGAAATGACTGTGAATTATGTTACCCTAAACAGTTCAGACACGGTTCTAATTGTACACCAGTTCAATAAACATATTTTTCCACCATTTCCACTGGATACGTTGTTTTTACAATATAATCCCTTAATAGTTTCTTTCAATTTATTTTTCTCGGAGTGGGTATTTGGTTTGTGGGATGCAGCTAATCGTATAGATAATGGAATTTGGAAAATTAATCACTTGGAATAAAATAATACCGTGTCAGAAAGAATCACTAATTTCAAACACTTGGTTCGAAATCTTATTAGAAATATATATATACTAAATTCCATGTCTGCGTAATTTTGTGTTCTTCAATTATCAGTAATCCTATCACACTAGAACTACTCACACAGTCAAAATGGCTGGTCCCAGAATTTTCCTTTTTGCAATCACCGAACACACACACCTGCTTTAAGAATAAAACTGCTATCAACTCATATTAACCCTTTACGCTCGACGATTTTTTGGTTAAAGAAGGGTGCAAGTTGAAAAATTTTCTGCTTAAGGCTGATATTTTTTGAGCAGTAAATAAGAAATCGTATAATAACTAACACCTAGAATTATTTAATTTCGATACCTTGCACACTGTTATATTATTTTAAATTTGATATATTAATTAATACCGAGCTTCGAAATTTTATCAAATGGTAACTGAAAGGCACCTCTCGAGTTTAAATGGTTAAGAAAGAACTGTAATCAATATATTCACTCATATTCATCGTACCGTTGAAATTACTATAACCTGTGCACGTTATAGTTAGGTGCCCATTAAATATCGATAGTTCTAGTGTTAAATATACCAGAAATTTATCGAGGAGCGGTAGAGGAATACCAGAGAACACATATGTGTTCTAATTCTCGTTCATATTATCTTCATCTTTTTATCCGATTCGAATTAATTATTTAATTATCTAAAATACATAAGAAGGATCGATGAATTAATCTTACTTGACTCAGCGACGTTCACTCCTCCAGGACCGCTTAATCCAGGCATGCCTGGTGGTCCAGGTGTTCCCGGAGGTCCTGGTTTCCCTTCTGGTCCTGTGTCTCCTTTGTCACCCTTCTCGGCCGGTCTTCCATTCTCACCTGGTGCGCCAGGAAGCCCCGGTGCTCCCGGAGCACCAGGTTCACCTTTGAATCCCTGAATTCCTCGAGAACCTTCTTTCCCGTGATCGCCTTTTCCGCCCTTGTGCCCTGGTTCGCCTTTGCTACCTTTGGCACCGGCGATACCTGTCTCTCCTTTTGGTCCTGGACTTCCTGGAAGGCCTGCGTCGCCTTTCTGCCCTGGCAATCCTGGTCTCATGGCGATGCCTTCGGTCTAGGAGACAGATTTCGTTTCAGATTAATTTTCATCCACACGGCAAGGTCGGTCTATACACTTTGGAGCGCTGCAGGGTTTATAATTTGCGTAATCTTTATGTACTTTTGAATAAGAAGTTCAAATATAGGATCTTTATTGGAATACGAGATATACAGAGTGTCCCCAAAAAATGTATACACACTTTGCGTGATTATAAAAACAGTATATATTTGGGATGGATTATGGTAGTAGAACTTTAAAATATATTTACGTTTTTCAAAGTCTAAAATTAGCCATTATTTTAAATAGGTTGTACCTAAAAAAGAAAAAATAAATTAGAAAGAATAAGGTATACGATTTATTGGGACACTCTGTATTTGCGACGATATCTTTTTTAGGCTTTCAACCATTTGCATCCAAGCGCGGAATAATCCGCGAACCACGACTGTCTCCTGTCACCGAGCGCGGAATAATCCGCGAACCATGACTGTGTTCTATCACCAAGCGCGGAATAATCCGCGAATCATGACTGTGTTCTATCACCGAGCGCGGAATAATCCGCGACCTGTGACTTTTTAAACGCATATATGCGGCGCTCCTCCGCAAAGGGTTAATGCTTGGAATTTTCATCTGATTTCCATCACAGTGCAAAATAAATACTCTAAGGTATTCTTTTAACATTTTTGATATTATTTACAAATATTATTAACCCTTTACACTCGACGATTTTTTCGTTACAGAGAAATAATAATTCGAAGACTGTCATAAAGTCGACGATATTTTTAAAATGGAAAATAAAAAATCGTATGCAAATTAAGATAAATTAAGAATTATGTTACTTCGACATTGCACGCATCGTTAGGTAATTTTAAATTTCATATATTAATTAATATACATCTTTAGAATCTGATTAAATGGCGACTGAGAGTCGCCTCTCGAGTGCAAAGGGTTAATGCTTGCAGTTGTCGTCTGATTTTCATTATCATTGGAAATAAATGGGCAAATATTTTCGATATCATTTATGAATACGCATTTTATCCAGTAACGATTGCATTTTAAAATATTGGCAATTGTTCTCCGCAACTACGACGCTAATGAATGGAACTTTTACCAAATCCAAAGAGACATCGAATGACATTAAAGTTTTAAAGCGAGCTTAAAGCGTGGGATGCATTTTAAAATACGAAGAGGGGAAGATTTGGTAGAATGCAATTGTCGTTCCAAATTCATCACAAAGTTCAGCGATAAATTTCAGCTCGCCACAAGCTGCGAGACGGAATGCCCGTAGCATACCGGTGCAATCTCGAAAGAAGCTTTCGTACCAAAGTTGCTCTAAATATGAAACTATTACTCACCCTATAAATGTCTCGGGGTTTCCAACTGGGCTGCATGCGCATAATAGTCGAAATTTCTCTGTTTAATCATTGGTATAAGGTCGTAAAGCTAAAAGCAGTCGGTCGACCCGATGTGCCACCTGCTCGTTTGTATCGTCTAATGGCCGTTGACGAACAATCGTCGTTCGAGCAATTGTCTCTAGTGTTCAATTGAACCATTATCCTGTGCTCGGTACCTGTTTGCAAAGCAAACAGCTGATCGGGCCTTTTATCGAGAACTTATGACAGGTACGAATTACTCAGCGATCGAAGGGCCTCACTGAAAATATACTAAACTCGGGAGACAACGCGATCGTGAGACTTAAGGAAGCTGAAGGTAAATACAAGTGTCGTTTCTAAGTGTCGATTCTAGGAAAAATAAAAAGGGGTCGTTTCGATTCCTAAAATAATATGATGCACTTGATGAGGAATAAGGAGCATGATGTTAATTTTGAACGAGTTCTTCGACTCTTGAGTACGGTTGGTTTGACAATGGTTTAATTGAAGATAAGCCCTTAACCGTTTGAGTCCCAAGTAGCGCTTGAGGCTTTCGGAAGAACACGGTCGAGAAACCCTGAACAGCGCGATAACGCTTGCCTTAATCGAGTGCAACGAAGTCCAAACGGCGCGATAGCGCTTGTTTAATTGTATGTCGAGAAATCCCAATCGTCGCAATAGCGCTTGTTGGTAATATGTGACGTACATGCATCAGCAAAGTTGAGCGCGATCGCGCTGCTTGGGACACAAACGGTTAATCACTGACATCCAGTTTCTAAGCTTTCGGAAGGGTATTAGGTGTGGTAGTCTTCAATGTTTTGCCAATGCATCTTTCAATTTTCCATAACTATTTATCACGATTACTCGTTGCAGCGACCAACGTTTGCACCCTCATCGCTATATGGGAAACGGTGGTTTTCACGAGTCCTCGGTGAATCCTCGACTTCCTATAAATATAAGTTCCTATGTTCCTATGGTCCTAGGTATCCCCCGTCTAAGATAGGACCTGATATAAAGCCTTAGTGACGAGTCCACTACTGGCAGGCCCAGGGCGAAACGCATCCCTTCCTTTTCCTTTCCTCCCTTCTAGCACAATCGCTACATCGAGAATAACTGCGACAAGTTAACTTCGACAACCGTGAGAGAAGACCCCTACAGACCTTTTCTTAAGAGTGACACCGATTTCTCGGCGTCAGTTCCACTTCTGCATAAAAAAGCTCGTCGAAACCCGAAACAGTGCCTTTCGTTTATTGATACCTCGCGATATCCCATCGAATGAAAAATAAAAAATAGGTAAAAATGGAAGGTGAAAGGGGAAAGAAGAGCAGACACAACGTGTGGAGAGTGAAAGAGCATCGATCGATATCGCGTTTCGTGCGTTTAATTTCGTCGATGATGGTATCGGATCGTTCCAGCCGATGGACGCACGTTTATTCGACCGTTTACAAGTCCCGATGTTTCCGTAACCGCAAACGAATCGAACTGCCTTTACTTTCTACCCTTCCTTCATCTATCCCTGCACGAAAGCCTCTCAGAACGCCTATTTATCAACGCCATCGATCGCTTGCTTATTCGTCACGCCAGGTTCTTAAAGCTTTTCTACCAACCAGTTTCCAACTTCCAGACTTTCTTCGGCTATTGAGAGGTTCGTATTCAACGAAGGCATCTTTCATTCCGTCTTTCTTCACTCTTTTATCCGGTAACGGCCCGCGTGCAGTATATTCCCAGTCCATCTCGAATGATCAAAGAGGGATGAAGATAGTTTGGTAAAATGTGGTTAGTTGATTAGGAAATTTTGCTTCGAGAGGTTATATTCTGGAGTTGGTTTCGGGACATGATAATTCTATATTTTTCTGTTTATAGTTGCGAGAAAGTGAAGTAGATTGATTACGAATATGAAGATTGCGAGGTTGGTTACGTCTCCCGATAGCTTCTAGGGAATAATTGGGGGAATTTTAATCCACGAGTTTGGTTAAAAGAAAGAACATCGGTCCTAGGGAATATTGTACAATAGAACATTAATTTGCGAATTTGGATACACTTTAAAGTTGGTTTCTGAATGTAATTGCGCTTCTGTTTGCTTACTGTTGTGGAAAAATAGAGTCGACTAAATAGGGATGTCAATTTTGCCAATTTGGTTACATTTTTGGATAGTTTCTAGGGAATAACGTAAGAAATTTTAATTTCCTAGTTTAATTACGTTTTAGAGCACGTTTTTAACGAACAATGATTGAATAGTAGAATAATTGGTAAAAGTTACTGATCTTATAGAATATTTCAAACTTCTGCTTTTAGTTTTACTTTCAATTTTTAATTATTTCTACTTTTACTTTTAATTGTTTAAGTTTTAATTGTTCCATATAGAGGAAAAATAATTTTCTTTTATCACAAGGCGGATATAGGTAACAATCTAATTTTGCACGCATTAATAGACAATATTTAATAACAAAAATTGAAACTAGATTTTTAAACAATATCTCCTTGTCTGTATCGCAAGCATAGCACTTCTGGTTTAACAGAAACACTACTGCTTGCAGTATGTACGTCTTCATACCTTCGTGCGATACGATTATTCAAGTCGAGAATAATGTAACACCTTCTAAGGCACGAAAATGAGTACCTGAAATATTCCGCTGGACTCAATGTTAGGTTAGTACACTCAATTAACCCACGAGTAACACGGGACGCAGTTGAAATGATGGAGTTTAGTATGAATGACGGCAAATTGCATCATTTTACGCGATGACCTTATCTACAGCTATCAAACATCATGAACGACTAAATAAAGTGAAACTATCACTAATGGAAGATCTTTTCGGCCAATTGGATATTAAATTAAACCTTAAATTTCACCACAAGATAGGTTAAAGCAAATGCCAATTGGAGTACTCAACACTAAAAACTATCCTCTTCCAATAAATACGTATAGTATAATAATAGTACAATAATAGTAAAATAATAATAATAATAGTATAATTGTGGTAGTCGTTGTCATAGAATGTTTGGTAAAAGTGTGAGAAATGTTTGCGTGGAAGAATGTATAAGCATGACGAGTATGACAGAGAGTCGTGCAAAATAATTAGTTGATGAATGACAGTCATCAGAAATAGACGTGTGTGAAAGAGTCCTGAATAGATTATATCGCAGTGAGAAGCGAATTTATTTTATGCGATTTAATTATAATTTATGTTGTGTCGTTATACTGTTCAATAAATATTGTTATCAGTTTATCCATTTACTCACAATAATAACCTAACCCAAAGTGAAAAAACAGTAATCACAGTTTTATCCGAAGAATCAGAATTAATTTTGCCAAAATCAGTTGCAGTTTATCAATAACTAAGAAACAGAATAGTCATTCTGGCTATATTAATAATCTCAATAATTCAATCATAATTAAAATCTTAATAACCTGCCATTCTTCGTTACTTAATGACACCTAAGACACTATTACTCTTCATCCACGACAACGGCAAACATTCTGCCTAAACACCCAACAAATGCCACCCCTAACTTCTAAAGCGACTCCCTCCAAACCTATCTGTACCCATCAAGGAATCCGTCCCCCGGACCTGCCCAAACAATTCCAACCCACCTCCCAACGAAACTCCCCCAGACACGTGACATATAAAACCAAAACTCGCGAAACCATCTCTCATCTACGATGGATCCCTAGCGTTACATCGTCGCCTCTCGCACAGACTTCAGATCTTCCTGACCGAGAGTCAATCGTCAACGAGGCAGTTAGGCCAAGTGATTCGTGTAACCTGCAAAACGGCATTCCCGCAGGCGTGTAGATCCGTTCAGACGACGAAGTTCCTTTTCCTAAGCAAGCCAACTCCCCGCCCGCCAGTCACTCACCTGCCGTACCTGGCCGGCGCAGCCTAGAAATTGGTTTCTGTATTCTCCAGGGAAATCGGACGCTTGTACGTTGGAGCACGAACCGGCATCGGGTCACGTAAGATAGCGCTCTGGGGTCAAAGCGAGATGCTCCGCCTGTCGGGGATTCCCCGAACCCCAGCAAGGTTGCAAAGTCCTCCTAAGGGGACGAAAAGTCGTAGGAGAGCGGTTTTCCCCGAGTTCCCGAAGCTGCACGCCTGGTATACAGGTATATACACATGTACGCACACAGTGCGCAGGCTCGTCCGAGCAGCTTAATTAATTTAAATGCCTGGAATATATGTACATAAGTCGGAGTTCGGTGAAGTTACCGAAGTTGCCGATAGAGGGTGCTGCTGCTGCCTGGTGATTTTCCCCTGGGTAAGGTTAGGTAACGGTGGAGGTGCTGCGCAGATATCTGGTTTCTTTATCGGAGATTCTTTGTTCTCGGAAAGTTACGAAGCGATTGGAAGTAATTTAAGATGCGAGATCGAAGAGTGGGTTGTACTCGGTTGGGCGTGGAGAGGTTAGGTTGGATAATCGTGGAAAAGTGTTTGGGTTCTTTCTGTTAGAATTTGGAGGGACTTAGATGGGGAATCGTGGCCACTGTCTTTGGCATTTGAGATCGGGGATTGTAAATATGACTTTAATACAGGTAAAACAGAAAATCTAAAACTGGGCGGTTGCAATGGTACGATGGTTTCGGTGTCAACACGTTGAGTGCGGCGTCCATTTTGCTATACTTTCCGCTTAGGCGCTAGCAAGTGGGCACTAGATGCAGAGCGCTCAAGTATGCTGAACAGAAGATTATTTTGTTTCACTTTATTGTTTGGGCTGTGAGAATGGTGCAGCCAATGCACAAATATACCAATTATAAACAGAAGATAATGGAGTGGGGAATGCCAGAAAGGCAAACAGGTGATCACCAAGAGACGATCAGTCAGAAAAAGGCACGCAAGTGTAAAGATTTACTTCGGCGGAGGGAATTCAGTTGTTACAATATATTAATTGTCATTAATAATTTAACATTTGACAATGCCTGTCTCACACACCGATGTAGACCAAACGAAAAGTTCGTTGTCAGTTTAAGAATCCACGGCGTCCAAACGAAAAGCCTACTGTCAGTCCCTAGAAATTGACATAGCACGTCAACGTGT